CAACCACCATCTCTTACACACAGCCACATATGGTCACAGTCACTCACAACACCATCTCACACATAGTCACCTACAGCCTTGCACACAATTATAGCCACTCACAACTCATGGTATACACAGGGACAGCTATGCCTTATCCACTGTCACTATCTCACACAATCATGGTTATTTACAATCACACTCTCAGACACACACAACCACATCTACTCACAACCACCTTTGTTCACACTCTTGCACATACCCAGCCCAGTCATAACCATGGTTCCACAGCAATCATGGCCTCTAATAACACACATACTAGTCACCCACAAACATAGCTTGAAACACATGAACCTGTGGCCACTCACAGCCGGTCACACACACAACTATGACCACACCTGCCATCACATAGTCTCACCCACACAACCACAGCCACACACGCCATCGGTCACACTTGCACGTGCATCACCCCACCCCCTCCTCACCATAGTCCACTCCCGGCTCACAGGCCTTGTCCACCCGGTCTTCTGGGGTGACCTGGTCCTCCGAATGGTGCATGAAGCAGCTCTCTGAGGGATGGGTGAAAAGGGGACATGACCTAAGCTCCATTTCTCACCCAGGGCCCACCATCCATGGGTGTGGTCAGCCCCAGGCCCATCCCTCTTGGTGTCCCCTGGGTGTGGGCTTTTGGGGCCCCTCGTATCACCGTCATAGAAAGGGGTAGGTTGGGGGTGGTGGTATCAAGTGGGCGTGGCCTGCCACTTTCTGGCTCCTATGCACCCACCCTCAGCACAGCGGCATATTTCGTTGTGGCAGATTTTACTCAGCAATCCTTCTTCCTTCTCCGGGTGGTAGAATCGGGTACAACTCTCATCTGTGGGCAAAGATGGTGAGAGGTTTCAGAAAGCTAAGGCCTCCACCCGATACGGTGCCTGTGGGGCTCAGGTTCCCAACTCCAGTCCCTCAGACCTGGAGATGCTAAGTCCTGAACCCTGGTACTCCCAGGTCCTCAATCACCAAGCCCTGGGACCCCCATCTTATAGAACCTTGGGACCCTCAGACCTCAGGCCCGATGTTGGCTGCTCACCCAGGTTGTAATAAGAGTACACCTTGACTGCTCCCGGCTGGATGAGTCCCACATTAAAGAACTGGTGAACTTTGAAGGATATACAGTCCTCTTGATCGTGTGAGATCTGGGAAAAGCAGGAGGTGAGTCAGTGGGAGGGAGTCCAGCATAAGGAGAAATGGTGGACCAAGGAGGGATCTGCGTGGAGAGGATGTCGGTGGTGGGGGAGGGGGAGTGAGAAGTGGCAAAGATTAATGAGCAGGCCCACAAATCTATTTTCTTTTTCTCCAAGACTTATGGCTAGATTACACTTCTTGGCCTCCCTTTCCATTTGGTTTGACAATGAAATTGAATTCTGGCCAATGGATTGCTATCTGTGCCCCTAAAAACATCCCATGGTTATCAATACTGCACTGCATATTTGAAAGCTGCTAATATAGTAAATCTTAAAAGTTATCACCACACACACACACACACACACACACACACACACACACATTAACACTATGAGGTGGTACATGTGCTAACTAACCTTACTGTGGTCATCATTTTCCAATATACATATATCCAATCATTGCATTGTATACCTTAAACTTACACAGTGTTATATGCCAATTATATCTCAATAAGGCTGGGAAAATAAATGAGAAAGAAAAAAAAGGAAGGAAGGAAGACAGACAGACATGTACGTATATATGATAGACATGTATATTTGGAGGAAATTGCTAACAATTAATGAATCTGGGTAAAGGGTGTATGGAACTTTTTTTACTTCTCTACAATTGCTCTGTAGGGTTGGGACTCCATAAAAAATTAAAAGTACAAAAATGAAAAAGGGAAAAAAAATTTTAAAACCCATCTCATGCACTATCAATCCTCTTTTCCTCTAGAACAGTGGTTCTCAACCTTCTGGCCCTTTAAATACAGTTCCTCATGTTGTGACCCAACCATAAAATCCTATTCGTTGCTACTTCATAACTGTAATGTTGCTACTGTTATGAATCGTAATGTAAATATCTGATATGCAGGATGGTCTTAAGCGACCCCTGTGAAAGGGTCGTTTGACTGCCAAAGGGGTCTTAACCCACAGGTTGAGAACCTCTGCTCTAGAAGGAATGGATCAAACAGAGGACTCTAAGACCAAGACCAATAGAGAAGGAAAAGGCCAGCCACATATAGGTCAAGGTCCCAATGGAAGCCTCACCTTGTTCAGGTAGATGATGAGGGTGTTCTTGTTGGAGAAGGCCTTGTTGTCCAACTCAAACTTCGCGATGTACCTGTCAGTGCGATTTGCCAGCTGGAGAAGGGAAGAGCTTGTGAAAATGCCATCCTTCCCATAGCCTCTGCCAGGCCCCAGGCTCCTTCCCACTAATCCTAACCCCTGAGCCCAGGATTTTCACACCTTCTTGAGTTCATCAATGTCGGGTGCAAAGCCAGTCATCATGGATATATCCAGGATGGACATAGTGACATCCTGGTCTCCCAGGTACCTGGATAGGGCAGGGAGAGACGGTTAGCCCTAGGGGTCAGTGTCTGGACAAGGGGATCTGATTAGTGAGTGAGGCTTCTGGTTCACACACAGCAGCATAGAGGATGTTAGTTCTTAGGAAACACTCCCCCAAGGGGAATAAAGGAAAGGTGTGTAATGGTTAAGGCAACTAACTGCTCAGCCTCTGAAGCCCAACTACATGGGTTCACATCCCAGCTCTATGTGACATTGGATGAGTCACTTCACCTCTTCAGGCCCCAGTTCTTCTAGAAAATGAAGACAAGAGTACAGGCAGGTCTCACCTTGCATGATTCCATTATCACGGTCTAGTTCAATAACACCAGTCCCTCAGCAACACAGTCTAATTCCAGTACCACAATATATTAATGAGCAAACGCCTAACGGACAAATCTAGCTGCCAGCTCTTCAGTCCACCCATCACTACATAAGCAAATGAGCATTACAATCAATGACCAATCATGTCACTTCTTTCAAAGTCTGTCAGTGATGGGTCACAGAGCACCCATCATTCAAGCCACGTGTGTGGTTGTGTTACTTCCTTCTCTCTCAGTAAAAAGAACCATGTGAGATTTTACCAAAATGGATCATTGAAAGGGAATCACCAGCAAAGACGAAAGCACAGCACAGAAATGAGAGTGGTAACACTGGGAGTGAAATTTCAGCAGCACCTAAATGGAGTCAGAGAAGAAACAGCAGATGGTGGGAATGTGGACCTGCTGCCCTTGGAGAGACCAGCATGGGGTCAGAGGCACTTAGTGAAGGCAGGGCATCAACATAAATGATGAAAGTGGATGGGGCAATAATGATATCCCAGAGGATGTGACACTGGCAGAACACTTCACAGTGAAGGAACTCTTAAATATCTCGTGACATAGAAAGCTTAGAGGATTACATGTGGGAAGTTGACCTAAACTTAGAAGGAAACATGCCACTTCACAGTGTCATAGAACAGATGCTGGCTCCATATCGTAAGTGCTACAGAGAAGAAAGGAGGCACTGTTCAAACTACAGGGCTTTGGATAAGTGCTTCACAAAAAATCAAAACCAACTTTAATTTCAATGTTCTTACATGTTACTTTTTAATTGATTTCAGAGAGGAAGGGAGAGATATAGAAAGAGTAATATCAATGATGAGAGTGAATAATTGATTGGTTGCTTCCAGCACACCCCCTACTGGGGGAAATTGAGCCTGCAACCCTGGCATGTGCCCTTCCTCTGAATCAAAGCTGAGACCCTTTATTCCTTAGGCCGAAGATCTATCCACTGAGCCGAACCAGCTACGGCACAATGTTCTGAGGTTTTAAATTACAATGCACTAAAATAAATACTCGTCTTAACTATACTTTTCATTACTCTATACTTTTATAACTGGAAATATGATAGTTTTCAATCTTTTGTTAAAAAAAAATTATAATGTAAGCCCGGCCAGTGTGGCTCCTGGTCAGGGTACATGCCCTGGTTGAGGGCTTTATCCCCAGTAGGGGAGTACAGGAGGCAGCCAATCAATGATTCTAATCATTTATGTTTCTATCTCTCCCCTTCTTTTTTCCTCTCTGAAAGAAATAAAAATTTAAAAATAAGAATAATGGAAAATTCCTGTAACAGTTGTAATCTCCCTCGTTGATTATCAACATCACTTTTCATAGTCTCAGCTTATGTGGTCACGACTAGTCTCACACCACCATGCCATGCTGTCTAACTTCTGGAGGGTGCTCAGCACAGTACTAAGCACACAACACATTCCCAGAGAGTAGTAGGTACCTCGGATAGTATTTACAGGAAGTCTTACTAGAGACAGAGGGATGAGCGAGATGAACCCCAGTGACCCATCTCTTACCTGGTACAGATGTTGAGTAACATGATGCTCTTGGCGTCCTGAGGCTTCTTCACTAGAAACATAGAAGACAGAAGGATGGAGGGCTGGGTCCTGATTCAGGAGCAGGGCAGACACTAGAATGGCAGTGGGGGAAGGGTGACAGATAGGGTCTTTATTCCTTCTACCTTCAGGGGCTGGTCGCAGGATAACCTTGAGACTGAACTTATTGCAAGAGGTTCTGCCTTTGATCTTGGCCTGGTACATTGTCACCACCTGGAGAGTTGAGAGGGGAGATGAGGTGTCAGCAAACTTGACTTGGGAAGGTGATGAGCAAAGCAGGTGTGGGCTCTGGTCCTTACCGACAAAGTGCCTTGTCCTTTCCCTTTAGCTGTTAATGTGAAGTTCTCATTTTCCTTGGTCTGCAGGGAGTGGGGAGAGAAGAGAAGGTGTTGGGAGCCAAGCCTTCCCCTAGCTGCAATGGTCACCTGCACTCCCTCCTGCCTCCTGCAGACTCTGACTAGCTGGAGGATGAGAGCGAGGAGGGATTGGCCAAGCAGCTGTACCGTTTCTGATCGCAGGAGACTAGCGGATTCCCAGAGAATGTGGTGTGTGACGGCAGAGCTGCGGCTGGGCAGGTCAATGGACACATCCAGATTCAGATCCTCATGGTCAGGGACATCCCTCTGGTATTGGGCCAAGGCTTGGAACACCATGAAAGTGGCCTAGAACCCATAAGAGAAGAAGAGGGTGATGTGAGAGACTGAGAAAGCGTCAGAACCTGCTGGGGGATGAAAAGTTTCAGCTTAGAGCTGGGCCACTGAGACTGTGGCCTAAAATGCACCAGAGGGGGTGAGAATAAGAATGGGGGTTGTTACATACTGAGGACATGTTCTAGAACTCTCTCAATGAGAGAGGCTTAGTCTAGTGCTTAGTGACACTAAGACTGTGATCTAGACGGGACCAGAGGGCAAAAGAGTAAGACTGGGGGTCATTAGACACTGAGGACATCTCCTAGAATTCTCCAAGGGACAGAGGCTTACACCAGAGTGTGGAGATACTGAACATGTCTAGATACATGAAAAAGTGCAGGCAGAAGACTGAAGGTCTAATATGCTGAGCCCATGGACACTGGCAATAAGATAGTGAAGACTTGAGGGTAAGTGTGTAGGGGCTGGGAGGAGAAGGAAAATGTGGGGTGAGCGGATATATGTGTAATACTATCAACAATAAAAAAAATGTTAAAAATAAATAAATAAAATTGGAACCCGAGGACAACTAAGCATATCATCTAAAATCCAAAAGTGACACTGAGCCCTGGCCAGGTGGCTCAGTTGGTTGGATCGTTGTCTCATGCACTAAAAGGTTGCAGATTCCATCCCAGATCAGGACACATACAGGAACCAATCCATTGATGTTTCTCTCTCACATCAATGTGTGTGTGTGTTTTTTTTTCACTCTCTCTCCCTTCCTTTCTCTCAAATCAATAAACATATCCTTGGATGAGGATTTATTAAATATCTGAGAATGCCACCAGAGAGAAAGGGGATCAAACTGAAGCCTGAGCTTGCTAGACTTGAGGTTGCTGAAACCATGGTCTAGAACCCAGCTGGAAGAGAGCAGGCTTTGGTAAGACTCTAGAAAACTAAGAACATGATCTAGAATCCACAGTAAGACAAGGTAACACTGGGAGCCTTGTGGAACTGAGTGCATGGTCTACAACACTCCAGAGGGAGAGATAGACTTGATGATCCCCTATAATATTCGAGAATTGGTCTAGAACCCACCAGTGGAACAGGATAAGATGGGAGGCCTGGTCGAACTGGAACATGGTCTAGAATTCATCAGAGAGAGGCTCACCCCTGAACCTGGGCCTTGAGAATGTGATCTGGACACCAGGAGGGAAAGGGAGTCTCAAAATGCAGCTTGAGGCATCCAGAATTTAGTGTAGAATCCATAGACAGATTTGCAACAAAAACCAAAACCTGATATCTCAACTTCATTCCAATCAACTGCCTCTCTTGGTCTCAGCATCTTATCTGGGAGGCCATTCAGGCCAGAGGAGGTAAGGATGCATTTGCCTGGGGGACGTGGGACCACTTGCCTGGGTGGAGCCATAGCCACCTCCATAGAATCTCTGCTCGTTGAGCCAGCGCACAACAGGAGGTACAGAGTCAAAGTCTTTGAGCAGCAGCAGAGCCAACAGGGCATAGGATGTGGCCTCTATAGTGTAGAGCCTTTGGCCAGGCTCCTCCCAGCGGTTCTTATCTACAAGAGAGAACACCAGCCCCCATGCTCACTGCTCTGTCCAGCCTGGAGGTAGTTCAGAGAAAGCTCAGAAACAGACTTGTACTAGACCTCGGTGTTCAGGTGTCCTGGCCCACATTTGTGGCTTTCAGTCTGCTGGTTCCTGCCTTACTCTCTTCCCTCAGCAACCTTTACTCTTCCATTTCAATTCTGAACTGCAGCCCCTCTGATCTATGGGAGCAGATTCCAAGTTTGCCATGCTCATTCTCACCTCTGAGCCTTTGCATATTCTGTCGTCCCATCTTCGAGCACCTTTTCTCCACCTACCCCTGGTTTATTCTTATCCACCCCACACAATTCGGCTTCAGTGGCACCCAAGACAGAGTGAGACCTTTCCTTCTGTTTCTTAACGCATCCTGTGCTTCTCCTGTCCCAGCACTATGATGCTCTACAGGAATCTATTAACTCAATTTCTTTCCTCAACTGGAACGTGAGGCCATGATGGCAGTGGCAGTGCTATATTCACTGTGATGTCCCAAGTGCCTAAGAAACTACTCATGACAGACTGTCACCAAGAACCATTCCCTCATCTTCCTGGGCACAGAGTTGGACAACATCTCCCAGAGGCCTTTGCAGGTAGGTATGGCCACATAACTGAGCTCTGCAAATGGAATGTACAGAACAATTGACAGGGCCCCTTCCATGGCTGGTCTACCTCCCTTGGACACTCTTCCTGACTGTTTCCCCTTCTGCTTTAATAGAAGGGATTGCGAGGCCCCAAGGTGGCAGAGCCATGAGAAGATAGAGCCTGGATCCCTGCATCACTGTATAGAGGAGAGCTGTCTACCCACATGGGACACCCACCCTGTGCTGTTACACAGCAAGAAACCAAAGTCTCTGTGTTAAACTACTTCAGTATACATTCAGATATGTTACAGAGGTGAGCATAAACCTGATAAGGTGTCATCACTTGAATCAGTGGTGAAGTGCTCACGATGTGCTACTTATTGTGCTAAAATTTCTTTGTCATTCTCTTATCTAATTCTAATAACCCGTGAAATAATGGTAATGTTATTAATAATACTAAAGGCAATAACATCAGTGATAGATCTCTTACTATGTGCTAGACCTTCTCCTACCCTCATCACTCATTTAATCTTCACACCAATCTTGTGATGTCGGTATTCTTTTATACACAATGTCCATAGAGGTTAAGTGGATTGTACAAGATCACACCTTGAGAATGTGACAGAGGGTGCTTTGATTTTAAACTTGAATCTGTCTGATGTCAGAGCCCATGTCCTTGCTCCTGTGTCATAGCAAGTATTCAAAATACTTGTTGAATCATGCAATGGACCTTTTGTGTCATGCTTACAATGAGGATTTTTCACACCCTTCCCAGCTCAGCTTGGAGCCATGCAGCCTCATTTAAGATGGCCACCCTCAACCCGTAGCCACATATCTCTCCTTACCCTGCCAAGCTGCCTCTCACCTGTGGCTGCTTTCAGAAATGTGTTGAGGAGAGGGCCCTCCAGCTTGCCCAACTGGGCCAGGGCATAGCCAGCAATGGCCACAGCATATGGTCTCATCAAGTTCATGTAGTGTGCTTCAAGGAAGTCTCCGGCCTTATTGACGCTACCCCCAAGGCTCTATGAGAAAAAGATTGGGTTCTCTGGTCAGGTGGCCCTGCTGCCCCAGAGAGCTGACAAGGATCACACAATCACCACTTCCTGGGCATAAGGTTTCTGGCTTTGGTATATATTTGTCTTGGATCTGTCTATTTTTAAGGGTTCCCCACACAGTTTAGCCACTGTGTACTGCTCTGTTACTGAATACCTATCATCTTCCTGGTGCAGTCTGTATACCAGTGGTGTGCTAGTAAATATTTAATAACCAGTTGTCTAGTCAGTGCAGGAGTTGTGGGTTAGGGGAGCTGGTTTATTGATTGCCAATGACTGTGGTGTAAATACTTCCACCATGCCAATTTCAAGCTACCAGTGTGACATACCTTAACATAGAATGGGAAAGAGATGCCCCAAATAGGCACCCAGGGTTAGCACACCACTGGGTCCACCTATTATCTAATCATCATCGTCATTGGAGCCAACACTCACTATGTGCTAGTCACATATCAACTCATTTAATCTCAAAATTCTATGAGGTAGGTTTTATTTTCATCACCATCCCTACTGCACAGAGGAGAACACTGAGACCCATGAGATGAGGTGCAGATGCAGATATGCTTTGTAGTGATTTTTATAGTGTAAATACAACCATGGCTGATTTCAACCTACTAGCATGGAGTCACTGACTGTAGAATTCAGAAGAGATCATATAGTTTGTCCACCGTATATGTACAACAGACATAAATAACCTCAAGATCATGGATAATGATAAAAAGTAGTAAAATAATTAAGAAGTGATGAGTTTTGAGGGTTTACTACATTTGTTGTCGTTTTGTTGTTTTTTTCTTAATTGATTTTTAGGGGGCGGGGAGAGAAAGAGGGATCAATTTGTTGTTCCACTTATCTATACATTCATTGGTTGCTTCCGGTATGTGCCCCAACTGTAGATTGAACTGTACCTTGGCATAACAGGATGATACTCCAGCCAACTGAGCTACCTGACCAGGGCTACTACCTTTGTTTTTATGTGTGTTGTTTAGTCTAATTTATTTAAAGGTAAGTTTATATACTTTAATATTTAATAATAATTGTGTTCAACAATCAACTTGCAATATTCCTGGAATACTAACCATTGGTTTTATCAAGCTAATTCCAACAAGTTCTTGATTTGAACCCCAGCAGTCTAGTTCCACAGCCTATGCCATACTCCATTATAAGAGTTCTGTGGTGTAATAGAAAATGTCAGTATGTTGTAGTACAAACTAATCCTTTTGCCTGCCCTCTGTCTCTCCTATATCCACCCTTGATTTTTGTAGGACCTTCTCCTTCCTGTCATTTACATGGCCACAGTGGAACAGTCATATTTGCCCAGGAAGACCTACTTCCTGGTCTCAGCTCATTGATCCAGAAGTGATCACCTGACCCAGGCTGAGCCAATCAGAATCCTTTCCTAAGAATCTGGAAGATCTAGCCTTGGGCTAGGAATTTCCCCAAGGAAGGTAATTCTGTTCTGCCAGGTAGGCTGGGTGGAGGGAAAGCTGAATTATTCTGCAAAAAGGGCATGAAGGGCAAAGGAAATAGGATCAAAGCATCCAGGTTGAGTCCCCAAGATTCCTTTCATCCTTGATAAATTCTTAGATTCTTAAAATAATTCCCCCATCTACAGGGTGGGGCAAAAGTAGGTTTATAGTTGTTTGTTCATAAAATAATACAATAAATCTAATCTAATAAAAGACAAATAGGGTAATTAACCGTACCTCCGACACTCTTCCCATTGGCTAATCAGGGTGATATGCAAATTAACTGCCAACCAAGATGGCAGCCGGCAGCCAGGCAGCTGAAGCAAATAGGAGGCTTGCATGCTCCAGTGATGGAGGAAGCCAAGATTCCCCCCTGCCGCGGCCAGGCTCTGAGCTGCACTCTAAGAATCAATGTTGCAATTATAGAAGCTAAAAAAACCCCAGATACCTGCTTTCAGCAGCGGAGGCCTCAGAGCTGGAGCTACAACAGTGTTTCAATTATAGAAGCCAAACAAACCCCAGATGCCTGCTTTCAGCAGCCGAGGCCGCAAGCTGGAGCCGGCCTCAGAGCTAAAGCCGGCTCTCAGCTCCAGTGACAGCTATAGAAGGTAAATAAATCCCAGAATAAAAAAAAAGAAAAAAGGAGAGGTTGG